AACACCCCAACTCTCCCAGCCTGGCTCCAGAGCTGCTCCAGCCCTCCCAGCATCTCCGGGGCCTCCTCTGGCCTCTCTCCAACAGCTCCGTGTCCTCCCTGTGCTGGGGACCCCAGAGCTGTTCCCAGCCCTGCAGGGGGGTCTCAGCAGAGCAGAGCAGAGGGGACAATCCCCTCCCTGGCCCTGCTGCTCACGCTGCTGGTGACACAGCCAAGGACAGGGTTGGCTTTGATGGGTCACCTTGAGCTCCTCCTCACCCAACACCCCAAGTCCCTCTCCTCAGGGCTGCTCTCCATCCATCCCTCACCCAACCTGTGCCTGGGGTTGCTCCACCCCAGCTGCAGGGCCCTGCACTTGGCCTTGCTCAGCTCCATCAGGCTGACATGGTCCCACCTCTCCATCCTGCCCAGGTCCCTCGGGATGTCCCACCTCTCACCACACAGCCTGCTGTCACCTGCAAACCCCCCTTGGTGCCCTCAACCCCACCACCCACCTTGCCCACAGACCCCTAACGTGCTCCCCCGTGGGACCCTCTCCCAGGGGGGGCAGCCCCAAAGGTTCCCTCCCCTCCCCAGGTGACCCCCCTGGGCCTCACCTCGTGCTTGATGGAGCGGGCCCCATAGTGCAGGTTGTAGCCATCAGCCAGCACATCCAGCACCTCCCTGTCCCACAGCAGGGTGATGTTGTGCCTTGCCTTGGCCTGGCGGGGGGAGGAAGAGGAGGGAGAGTCACCCAAGGCTCCTCATTCCTTCAGCACACGGACACAGCACCCCCAGGCCCCCCAGCAGCTCCTCCAGGCCAGACCCACCCAATCAGGTCCCTCAATTCCTACTGATCCACCCCCAGGAGCTCAGATGTGCGAAGATCCATCAGACACTGAACGTCCCCCCAAGGTGGCCTGGAGCCCATCCCAGCCCCAGCAGGGGAGGAACCACCCCCTGATGTCCCAAGAGGTCCCTGCCTTCCCCAGGAAGGTCCCCTCGTGTCGAACACAACCTAAGACCCTGGCCAAGATGGACCTTCCCTCCAGCAGGAGGGTGAACTCTTGGGCAGGGACCTCCCCCTGCTCCTGTGTCACCTCTGAAGCCAGGGCTGGTTCTCACCTTCTTGGCCCAGTAGCTGAGCTCCTTGGTGACCAGCTGGATCAGCTCGGCGTGGCAGAAGGGCAGGAAATAGACAATCTCGTTGATCCTCCCCAGGAATTCATCCCTCCTGAAGTGAGCCTGGAGGGACAGGGGTTGGCCAGGGGGGACAGGCTTGGTGACCCTGCAGGAGGGTCTCCCCAGGGAGCTGGGACCCAAACCCCTGTCCCTGCAGGGGAGCAGAGCCCTGAAGGGCTTCAGAACATCTTCAGTTCCACGTGTCACTGTTCCCAGGGTGTCCTGCTCCCTCTGCAGCAGATGGGGACCCCAGGAGAGCAGGGAAGCCCCCCCAGGCCCCACTTCCCACCCCACATTCCCCTTCCTGCCCCAACAAGGAGCCCCCAGGGAGCTCTGGCCTTGCTGGGAGGTCCCTTCCAACCCACCCCACCCCATGGCTCTGAAAACAACAAGGAGATGGTGTCACTTCTGGGTGAGGCCCCTGGTGGATGCTGGATGGGGTGACCAAGTGACCAGAGCTCAGGACAACCCGACTCAGGAGGCAGGAAGGAAAATGGTTCCTACCTTCAGGATGGGGCGAATGACCTTCTCCTTGAACTGCTTGGAGATGGTGATCTTGTCAGTCACCTGGACATCCTCTGCAAGACAGGAGGGGACAGGGAATGGTGGGTGAGGAGGGACATGGGCTTTTGAGGATGAGGCTGGGGAGACACAGGGTGCCCAGGGAGGTGGGAGCTGCCCCAGCTCTGGAGACACTCAAGGTCAGGTTGGATGGGGCTCTGAGGAACCTGGGCTGGAGGAAGATGTTCCTGCTCGTGGCAGGGGGGGCTGGACTGGGGGAGCTCTGAAGGTCCAGCCCAAAGCACGTTATTCCATGATCCTATCAAAGGGAGGATGGAGGGATGGAGGGAAGGATGGAGGGATGGATGGAGGGATGGGTGGATGGATGGATGGATGGAGGGATGGGTGGATGGATGGATGGATGGATGGAGGGATGGATGGATGGATGGATGGATGGAGGGATGGATGGATGGATGGAGGGATGGATGGATGGATGGATGGATGGATGGATGGAGGGATGGAGGGATGGATGGATGGATGGATGGATGGATGGATGGATGGATGGATGGATGGATGGATGGATGGATGGATGGAGGGATGGATGGAGGGATGGATGGATGGAGGGAGGGATGGATGGAGGGAGGGATTGATGGATGGATGGATGGATGGATGGAGGGATGGATGCCCAGGCTGCCCAGAGAGGTGGGAGATGCCCCAATCCCTGGAAACATTCCAGGTCAGGCTGGACAGGGCTCTGAGTAACCCAATCAGGATGAAGATGTCCCTGCTCACTGCAGGATGACTGGATGACCATTAAATGTCCCATCTCACTCCAACCATTCCTTGATTCCATGACTCCCACCTGCCCAGCTCCTGGAGGATGGAGGAACCAAGCAGGGTGACCAGGATCTCCTGGGGTTGCCCCCAGGCCCAGTGGGCACAGAAGAGCACCCTCCACTCCCTGCCCTCAACCCCAAGGAGATGCTTCCTGGGGGTCTGGGATGGGAGAGCCCTGGAAACCAAGGAGAGGAGGCACCAGGGCTGCTCCATGGGGGTTCCTGTGCCTACAAAATGGTCCTGGGTCCCTCCTGCCAGTATCTCCAGCCTGTCCCACCCTGCTTCCCAGGGCCAGGCCAGCTCCTCCACCTCAGCTCTGAGCTCCAACGTGGCTCCAGTTCAGGGTCCACCACCCAAATTCCCTTTTCTCTCCATCTTTCCCACCTCATTTCTCCCTACATCTCCAGACACTTAACTCCACTGGTTGTTTTAAGGCCAGGTCACTCACTGGGAGACCCTGGGAATCCCCTGGGACACGTGGGGTGGAGAAGACCCCACAGTGGGTGCTGGGAGCCCCTCCTGGCTCTGCAGCCTTGGTGAGGATGGTGCTCCAGGAGTGGGGATGGAGAAGCCCAGATGGGTTTGGGGTGGAAGGGACCTCAAATCCCACCCAGTGCCCACCCTGCATGGGCAGGGACACCTCCCAGCAGCCCAGGCTGCTCCAAGCCCCATCCAACCTGCCCTTCAACACTGCCAGGGATGGGGCAGCCACAGCTTCCCTGGGCAACCTGGGCCAGGCTCTCCCCACCCTCACAGCCCAGAATTTCTCCCTCCCATCTCAGCTCCAGCTCCCTCTGCCAGCTGGAAACCCTTCCCCCTGCTCCCATCCCTCCCTGCCCTTGTCCCAAGCCCCTCCCCAGCTTTCCTGGAGCCCCTTCAGGCCCTGGAAGCTGCTCTCAGGTCTCCCTGGAGCCTTCTCTTCTCCAGGCTGAACACCCCAACTCTCCCAGCCTGGCTCCAGAGCTGCTCCAGCCCTCCCAGCATCTCCGGGGCCTCCTCTGGCCTCTCTCCAACAGCTCCGTGTCCTTCCTGTGCTGGGGACCCCAGAGCTGTTCCCAGCCCTGCAGGGGGGTCTCAGCAGAGCAGAGCAGAGGGGACAATCCCCTCCCTGGCCCTGCTGCTCACACGGGGCTGCAGAAGGGTCAGAGCTGCCCCCATTTTGCCACCTCCACCTCTCCCAGCCCTGCAGATGCAGCAGCAGCAGCTCCTTCCCTCTCATCTCTCCCATTTCTCTGCCCAGCCAGGGTCTCAGCACTGACCTTCAGGAGGATCTGCCCCCAGCAAACCCTGAGGAGCTCCAGGACACTCCAGGGTTTGGCTCCCAAGGGCTGGGACCTCCCAGTTGCTGCTGCCCCACTGGAGAAATGAAGATTCCATCTTCTCCTCCATGAGGAGAAATAAAAACCCCACCCAAGCCCTGGCACTGCCCAACAGGATCCCTGCAGAGTTGGGTGGCAGATCCTGAAGGTTAAAGGTGGTGACTGGAGCAGGTTCTGGCACCTGCAGCTCCAAGGAAGGAGGAGGAGGAGCCAGTGAGAAAGAAGCTGGAGAAACGGATTCAGTGCCTGAAGCTGAGGTGTCCTCCCTGCTCCCCTGGAGATGTGGTCATGGCCTGGGCACAGCAGCTTCACTGGGGGTTTCCTGAGCTCTGGGGCCAGGCCTGGAGGGCAGGGATGGTGCCCTGGGAGGGGCAGCAACAGACGTGCAAAGGGTCTCAGAACCCCCCCACTGATGGTGCCTCTTTGCCAACCAGTTGGTGGAGGGAGCTGGACTTGGGTTCCTCTGATGGTTCCAGCAGTTGGGTCAGTTCAGATCTTCTGCCCTTACCTGCTCAGTTCTCCTTTTTTTACTTAATTCCCAGTTTTTGGAGTATTTTCTCCAGGATCCTGACGTGTGGGCCCAGGGTTCCCACTCCAAGGAGAAGTAAAATTGATTGAAGCTCCTTTCTGGAAGGATCTGAGAGGAACCAAAACTCCTCCTCCTGCCTACGAGCACCTGTACCTGCCCCAGTGCCCCAGGAAGCACCTGGAAAAGTCCTGGAAGAGGGAAAAGGGTGAGGAGACCATGGGAAGAGAGCAGAGGAGGAGGAAGGCTGAGAGGTGGGACTGAAAGTCTCCTCCAAAGACAGAGCCTGAGCAACCTGGTGGCTTTTTATGGTGGAGTGATGACATCAGTGGACAAGGGAAGAGCTGATACCACCTCCCTGGGCTTCTGCAGGACCTTTGACATGGACCCCACAACATCCTGCTCTCCAAACTGGAGATGGGTTTGATGGGAGCTGCTTTGGTGGTCACATCCAGAGGGGTAGTGGACAGTGGCTCCATGTCCAGGTGGGTGGAAGGGGTGGCCCTCAGGGAGCTGTACTGGGACCAGTCCTGTTTAATTCCTTCATCAGTGGGATGGAGGCACCAGCAGGATCTTGTAGATGCCACCTGGTGTGTGGTGTGGCTGACACTCCTGAGGGAGGGGATGTCACCCAGAGGGACCTGGACAAGCTCGAGAAATGGTTCCATGTCAAGTCCATGAGGTTCACCAAGGCCAAGTGCAAAGTCCTGCAGCTGGGTCAGGGCAACCCCAGCACAAATCCAGAAGAGATGGAGAGCAGCTGTTGCCTTCTGGCAGGCAAGGGCGACCTGGCTACAAGCAGCTCTGAGGAGAAAGACTTGGGGTGTTGGGTGAGGAGGAGCTCAAGGTGACCCATCAAAGCCACCCGTGTCCTGGGCTGTGTCACCAGCAGCGTGAGCAGCAGGGCCAGGGAGGGGATTGTCCCCTCTGCTCTGCTCTGCTGAGACCCCCCTGCAGGGCTGGGAACAGCTCTGGGGTCCCCAGCACAGGGAGGACACGGAGCTGTTGGAGAGAGGCCAGAGGAGGCCCCAGAGATGCTGGGAGGGCTGGAGCAGCTCTGGAGCCAGGCTGGGAGAGTTGGGGTGTTCAGCCTGGAGAAGAGAAGGCTCCAGGGAGACCTGAGAGCAGCTTCCAGGGCCTGAAGGGGCTCCAGGAAAGCTGGGGAGGGGCTTGGGACAAGGGCAGGGAGGGATGGGAGCAGGGGGAAGGGTTTCCAGCTGGCAGAGGGAGCTGGAGCTGAGATGGGAGGGAGAAATTCTGGGCTGTGAGGGTGGGGAGAGCCTGGCCCAGGTTGCCCAGGGAAGCTGTGGCTGCCCCATCCCTGGGGGTGTTGAAGGGCAGGGTGGATGGGGCTTGGAGCCGCCTGGGCCGCTGGGAGGTGTCCCTGCCCATGCAGGGGGGGCACTGGGTGGGATTTGAGGTCCCTTCCCACTCACCCCAGGCTGGGATTGGATGATTCTAAGACGGGACCTCGAATAATGAGGATTTCAGAGCTGGGCAAGCAGAGGGATCACAGGAGGGATAAAGGTGGAGATGATGTGGGACTTGTCAGTGACTGGTCACCCCAGAAGGCCGGGGCAGGGCTGCCCAGACACCCAGACCAATGACCCAGCAGCCCCTTCCCCCCCGGGGCTGCAGTGCCTGGAGGTCGTGCTGGGTGAGGAGCAGCAGTGGAGGAGCAGCTGGAGGGTCTGGGTGCTCCCGGGAGGGCTGGGGGGGAGGAGGTGGCCTCTGCAGGGGCTGGAGCACGAGATGGACTGAGCAGTACCCAGGTTTTCAGCAATCCTGCTCTTGCTGAGCTCCTGGGCCTCCTGGCGGAGCTGCAGGGCGTGCTGGGCGATCTCCTCGCTGGCCACGTTGGAGGTCATGATGAAGATGGCATCCTTGCAGTCAATGGTCTTCCCCTTCCCATCCGTCAGCCTGCCCTGCAATGGCACCAGCAGGGTGAGGAGGACGTGGCCAAACACCAGAGGGGACATGAGGACTCGTTTTGACCCTCCAGCCAATGGATTTTGGGAGGGTTGCCCCTCGGGGCTGAGCTGCAGAGCCTGGAGAAGTCCTCACCTCCAGAACTCACCCTGCAGATGGTCCCAGCTTGTCCCAGCTGGGACATGGTCCATGGAAGCCCTGGGAGATGTCCCACAGGGCAGGTGGGCTGGGACAGCCCACATGTCCCTCAGCCACCTCTGATCCTCTGCCCTGGGTTTGGTCTGACACGTGAGCCCTGGGGAACCCCAGAAGTGCAGGGGAAGTTGTCACCTCCTGCCTCTGTCCCACCCCCCTAACAGAGCCTTAGCTTGGTTGGAGGGACCCTTGGATGTCCAGGCTCTGGGCTCAGCCCTGCTCACAGTGGTGGTTGAGGTTGGGATGCTGGGCTTGGTGATGGAGCTGCCCAGACCTGAGATGTTCCCTCAGGTGGGCTCTTCCTGGGGGCTGAGGGGGCAGCTGCTGGAGTTGGTGCCTTGAGCAGCTCCAGCAACAATGCCCAGATGTTCACCAAAGCCTTCCAGCTCAGTCAGCCCAAAGCTCAGGGGGGTCTGTGGTGGCCTGGAAGGACCATGGGGGAGCACAGCCTGGCCAAAAACAGGCAAAGCTGGAACCACCTTGTAGGAACCATGAAACCCCAGCCTGGGCTGGGTGGGAAGGGACCCTCAACCTCACCCAGTCCCACCCCCTGCATGGGCAGGGGCACCTCCCAGCAGCCCAGGCTGCTCCCAACCCTCCCATCACTCTTCTTTGCCTTAAATGTCATTTATCCCACCAGGAGACCTCAGCACCATCCTGGTGTTGACACAGAGAAGAGGCTGGTGATGATGTTCTAGACCTACCAGATGCTCTCCAGAGGTCCCTTCCAAACCCTATCACTGGGCCTGGCTGTCCCACATTGGTTTTTTGGAAAGGGATTCTTGACCTGGAGCATTTCAGGACATCTCCTGCACCCACCAGCCCTTGCACCCTCCTCCAGCACCTCCCAAAGGCCCCTGCACCACCTCCAACCCTCAGCCCTGGGACTCACCTCATCGAAGAGCTGCAGCATGATGGTGAGGACATCAGGGTGGGCTTTGTCCACCTCATCAAAGAGCACCACGGCGTTGGGGCACTGCCTCAGCTTCTTGGTGAGCTGCCCACCCTCCTCGTGGCCCACGTAGCCAGGGGGGGAGCCAATGAACTTGGCCACCTAGGAGGAGGGACGAGGGCAGGTGGAAGCTGGTCCATGGACACCAGGATGGAGGTCTTCTCCACAGCTCTTTGCCTCCAGACAAACCCAGCTCTAGATTCTCTGTAACATCTGTGAGCACCTCAAGTATCCCCAGATCAGCTTCATTAGCACCAATTTGGCAAGATGCTGATTGGGGGCTGCTGAGTAATGTCCCCACCCAGAGCTCTGACCAGCAGGAGAAACCACCAACAGGCTCCAGCTCTGCTCCCTGAGCAGTGTCTGAGGGACCCATCCCAGCTCCAAGACCTCATCCCCTTTGGGCTTTTTAAGAGCCAGAATTCCAAGAATTACTTGGGAATCAAAGTTTGGGAAGAGGCCACAAGGAAAAGCTTCTCCCTGTGTCCAGAACCAACTTCCCTACTTGAGGCTGAAGGTTTTGGAATGAGGTTGAGGGACTCAGGAGGATCTTTGGGACAATAATGTTTTGGCAAAAGTGAGGATTTTTGATGGGCAGTTTGGGGCACGTGGAGGCTCCTGGGGGGTTGGGAGGCCCTTGGGAGGGAGAAGGTTGGACAGAATGAAGTGACCAGTTTGTTAATGGAATGTTGAAGGGCAGGTTGGATGGGGCTTGGAGCAGCCTGGGCTGCTGGGAGGTGTCCCTGCCCATGCAGGGGGGGCACTGGGTGGGATTTAAGGTCCCTCCCAACCCAAACCAGTCTGGGATTCTGGGTTCTGTGGATGGGAGAGAAGGATGGGTGGATGGATGGAGGGAAGAAGGGAAGGAGGGAGGGATGGATGGATTCCCAGGTTTCTCATGGGATGGTAGCTGCCCCATCCCTGGAAGCTTTCCTGGCCAGGTTGGACAGGGCTCTGAGCAACCTGCTCTGGTTAAGAGGTCCCTGCCCATGCTGGGGGTTGGGCTGGATGACCTTCAAAGCTCCCTTCCCACCCAAACCCTTCTGTGATCCCATGACTCCCCCACTCAAGCAGCTTTTCTCCCAGGACCTGAGCTTTCCACCAGGAATGGTGCCACCCCCTTCCTGGCTCATCACCCCCCTGGATGGAGCTGAGGGGGGTCCCACCACCTGGGGACAGGAGGGCAGGAACCAGCTCAGCACCTGAGGTCACCTCAGGCTCCTCAACCCACACCATCTCCTGGGCTGGTGTGTCCCACCTCTCCTAGGGTCACCCTGGTGAGATGTCCCTCCTCTCCTAGGGTGCCCCATGGACAAACGTGGGGGAACAAGGACACTGAGATGGTTTGTTGGAAGTACTCATGAAACTCAAGGCTGCACCTCTTGGAAGCAGAAAAGAAGCCCTGGACTCACCTCGTGCCTCTCCTGGAACTCTGACATGTCCAGCCTGATGAAACCCTGCAAGGGGACAAAACAATCCATGTGATTTCTGATGAAGATGCTCCAGGTTTCATGGGGAAGGTTCTTCCAGAACAGTTGGTTGCTCAGATGAACGTGAGGGTTTGTGGTTTGTGCTGGTGATGGATTTGCCAGATCATGAGTCCCAGAATCCCAGACTGGTTTGGGTGGGAAGGGACCTCAAATCCCACCCAGTCCCACCCCTGCATGGGCAGGGACACCTCCCAGCAGCCCAGGCTGCTCCAAGCCCCATCCAACCTGCCCTTCAACACCCCCAGGGATGGGGCAGCCACAGCTTCCCTGGGCAACCTGGGCCAGGCTCTCCCCACCCTCACAGCCCAGAACTGGCACAGGTTTGGCAGTGCCCAGGGAGCCCAGAGCTCCTCAGAGGTGGGTCCCTGGCCCAGGCTGCCCAGGGAGGTGGTGGAGTCACCATCCTTGGGGGTGTTCAAAAAATCCTGTGGACATGGACACTCTGGGACATGGTTTAGTGGGCATGGGGGTGTTGGGTTGATGGTTGGATTGGACGATCTTAGAGGTCTTTTCCAACTTTAATGATTCTGTGATTCATGATCTTTAAGGTCCCTTCCAACCCAAACCATTCCATGATCCTGGCAGGGCTGGGAGCCGGGCTTTGCTGTGGTCCTGTCCTGCTCCCAGTGCTGCTCCTGTGCTCCCCATGGGCTCCAGCACAGGCTGGATGAGGCCACTGGCACCTCCCAGCCCCTCCAGCAGCAGGAAAATGGGACAGCTACAGGTTTTCCCTTCTCAATCCATCAGTTCCTACGAGCTGCTCCCCCCGGGGTCTCTGGGCCCCTCACGCCGGCTCCTTCCCAATAAAATTCCCATTTCCCACCAAATTACCCCCAAGTTCAGCCTTGAACTGATTCCTCCCTTTGATGTCTGAGCAGCTGCAGGTGTGGAGGTGGGGATGGAGCTGCTGGGGAGGCAGGAGCCGGGGTTGCTGGTCCTGGCAGGTCATTAGGGAGGGCTGAGGGACAGAAACCAGAGCCGCCGCTTTTTACGGCCCCGTTTTTGATCTTCCTTCTGCACGTGGGGTTTTACCCCGAGTGCCCTCCCTGCTGGAGGATGTGGGGGAGAGGAATTCACAGGATGTGGGCACAGGAGGCAGCTCTGCCTGTGTTTCCTCCTTCTTCCCAGCTCCAAGCCCTGGGTCCTGCCCTGCCTTTCCCCGGGAGGAGGGAGTTGGGCCCGTCCCGCAGGCAGAGGGTGAGATGGGAATTGAGGAGCCCAGTTTTAAATGCTTTAAACCACAGGGAGCCCTGAACCGTCTCCACATGGAGCCACCAGCACCCAGGAGTCACTGGAACTCATGAACCAACCCACAGCAGCAGCTCTGGGCGTTGGGATCCCAAATATTCCAGCCCTAAGGACCCAGCAGGAAGCGACGAACAGTCCTGGGGTGAAGGGCTCGGGTGTTGGGGGGTGAGAAGCTTTGATAGCCCATCAAAGGCACCTTGTCCTGGGCTGTGTCACCAGCAGCGGGACCAGCAGGGCCAGGGAGGGGATTGTCCCCTCTGCTCTGCTCTGCTGAGACCCCCCTGCAGGGCTGGGAACAGCTCTGGGGTCCCCAGCACAGGGAGGACACGGAGCTGTTGGAG